GTGTGTGTGTGAGTGAGTGAGTGAGTGTGAGTGAGTATGTGTGTGTGTGTGAGTGAGTGTGAGTGAGTGTGTGTGTGTGTGTGTGTGAGTGAGTGTGTGTGTGTGGGCGTGAAAGGAAATGTGCATGGGTGAACGTGAGCACATGCAAGAGGGCCTGTTTTGCACGTTTGTACGCATGCACCATCACAGCATGCGAACGGATAGGTACACGAATTGTATGCCAACTGACCTTGCCATTCGTGAGCCGCTGAATGTCAATGTCGCAACCAAATGTGCGCACATGCGCCAGCTTCACCTGTGCCACTCACAGAAAAAAAAAAGCACAAATGAGCAATGACACATGCACATGCGATGACCCCCCTACACCCTCACACACACACACACACACACACACACACACACACACACACACACACACACCTGTTCTTTGAGATGGGTCGTCGATACTGAAACGGTAAAGAGGGGAAAGCACACGTGGTCGTGCGTGCCTTTGATGTGACATTGCACAAAGCAAACAACATTGTCCAAGGCCTTCGTCGCAGGAGCAGTGCCTCCAATTCGTTTCACATCCGTCTGCAGGAACTGCGGCTGAAGTGAAAACACAGGGCGACCCGAACCACGACCACTTGTGTGTCTTGCAGTGGTCGTGGCCGAGGTGGTGGACATTGGTGCTCCTTCCATTCCCACACCGCTTTCACCACCTCCTGCGTATCTGGAGCGATGGTCGCTCGCTGGTCGACCGCCACGCGCGTTCCACCCCACCGCGCTGTCATCTTCATCGCTGTCCATTGCCGTTGTGTTGGACACCAGCATGTCCACATCCCACGGCCGCAGACGCAGCCGGTGAGCCGATACCGACACACGCCCAACACCACGCCCTCCCATGATGCCGTCATCATCCTCATCGTCGCTTGCCACACTTCGGTGCCTGTGCTTGTTGTTCTTGTGCTTGTTGTTCTTGTGCTTCCGTTTTCTGTGCTTGCGCTTTCGTCGCGTGATGTTCAGGCGGTCGCCGTCCCTGAAAGCATCATCGCTATCACCGCCGCCAACACCATCGTTCATGCCACCGGCAGCACCCCAACCTACCCACCCGCCACCATCACCATCGGCGTCACTCAGCGCCGTCGCTCCCAGCAGGCCAGAGGTAAGGCGTGGCTGTCTGCTTTGGCCCTTTCTGCTCCTCCTCTTCGTCTTCTGCCTGCCAACACCAGTGACACCACTCGCACCACCACCTCTGCTGCTGCTGCGGTGCCTGGCGCTGTGCGAGAGAAGCGATGTGTCTCTGCTGTGATGGCGACGATGAAGTCCGTGGTGGGTTCGAGACTGGTGCGCGGTGTGACCAAAGGCGCGGCGGGTGCGGCTGTGGTGGTGGCGTTTGGTGTGCGTCGTGCGCGGGGCTGATGAAGCCTCTGAGCCGCGTGGGAAGGTTGTTTGTGGTGGCGATGCGTCGATGTGCGAGGCAAAACGCTGCCCTGCCGGCGATGGCGGGGACGAAAACTGCAGCTGTCGTCGCTCGTACTGTGGCAGCGACGGCGCCTTTGTCAGCGCACTTGTTGCTGTTGCTGGTGTTCGCGCCGCACCAGCACCCGACTGTTGCTGTTGCTGTTGCTGCTGCTGCTGCTGCTGCTGCTGCTGCTGCTGTTGTTGTTGTTGTTGTTGTTGCGTGAGGGATGTTGGGTACGTGACCTCAATGTCCTCCTCCTCCTCATCGTTCAGGATGCGGCGGTAGAGTGACCGCTGCTCGCCACCATCCGGCACTTCGTCTGCTCCTCGCCCTCCCGGCGACACGACAGCACTTCCACCTTCATCATCATCGCCCATGCCATCAACATCACCATTGTTGTCGTCGTCGCTGTCATCCAGGAACCACTCGTCCACAAGAGACCACTGTCGGCGCTCTCTCACCATGCGGCGCTTCCGTTTTGCCGTTGCCCCCGCCCTCACACCACCACCTGCTGCTGCTGCTGCTGCTGTGTGCTGGTGCAACCGCCCACGAGCAGTTGTGGCTGCACCGCTAGGCCGGGCTCGGCGTGCGCGAACATGATGGGTGGAACCACGCTGCATTCCATCCCCAACGCTGCCGTCATTGTCGTCGCTCGTGTCATGGGAGAGGTCACCCGCACGTACATCCATCCTCCCAACACCACCACCACCATGACCATCATCATCGCTCATATCAGAGAGCGATGAAGATGACGACGATGACGATTCCGATGACGATTCAGCACCAGACGACACGCGAAGGCGCACGGGGATCTCATAGTCGCCCTTTGCCGCGCCATCCTTCTCATCGTCATCATCAGCGAAGCGGGCCGGCTGCAGCCCTCGCTTCCGCGCCGGGTTGTCGCGTAACAGCCGCTGTGGCACGTGGGACATTGCAATGTCCGACAACGACACAAGGTGGTGACCCCTGTACCTTTCTTCTTCTTCTGCCTCCTCTTCCTCTTCCTCTTCCTCGTCATCATCACCGTCATCGTCACCACCACCATTGTTGCGCCCAACACCGCTGCCGCTTCCACCATTACCACCGGCACCACTTCTTGTGCTTCGCTTCTTCTTGTTGCGAAGAAGTTGCTTAATCAGCCGCTGTGTTGCGTCCGCGCCACTGAGGGCGCTTTGCTGAGCCTGTTTCTGTCTCTGCTGCTGCTGCTGTCTCTTTTCCTCCAATTCCAACTGCCGCCTTCTCTTGCGTTCCCTCTTCTCCTGTTCACGCTGCTCCAGGTACGCGTTCATGTCTTCTGGTATCTCCACACGCTGCTGCTGCTGCTGCTGCTGCTGCTGCTGCTGCTGGCGGTGGTGAGCATCAGCGCGACAGCTGTTATCGTCACCACCATGTCCACTGTGGTCAGCACCACCACCACCATCACCAGTGCCACCAGCACGACCAGCAGCACGACCAGCAGCACGAGCAGCGCGGGCGAGCGTTGCCTCTCGCAGGACGTCAAACGCGCCACTTTCCTCGTTGATGGCTGCAACATCCAGGGCAGTGTGGCCCTTGCTGTCCTCCATGGACAGATCGGCGCCGTGGTCCAGCAGCAGCTGCACAACCCCTGCGTGGCCTGCCTGTGCCGCCTCGTGCAAGGGCGTTCGCAGCTCAGTCTTGCGCGATGACTGCGCGTTCACGTCCACGCCATCCTGCTCCAGCAGCAGCGCCACCACATCCTCGTAGCCGCCGTCTGCTGCGTCGTGCAGTGGCGTCCAGCCAGCGTAGTCGCGTGTATTGGCGGGCGCACCTTTGCTCAGCAGCCGCCGCACAGCAGCTAGATTGCCATTCCTCGCCGCCTCCTGCAACGGGGTCTCGCCCTTCTCGTTCGTGCGGAACAGACGCGCTTTTGCTCGCTGCTTCGCTTCTTCCTCCATCCGCGCCGTGCGCTCAGGGTCCGAATCCGTCAGTGACACCTCAGTGCCAGCGTCTTCATTGTCATCATCATCACCATCAGCACCACCCTCACCATCATCATCACCATCAGCAGCATTGGCACCACCATCACTGCCTTCGCCTGCAGCATCAGTCGGCAAGGCGTCAGCACCTTCCGCCTCCTGTCGTGCGATGAGTGCTCGTATGTCACGCACAGCCGAGATGGCGTCGACACCATCACCCCATCCATCACCGCTGCTCGCAAAGCTGCTGTTCATGTCGTCTTCATCATCATCATCATCATCATCATCATCATGGTCATCATAACCAGTACGGTTGTCAGTGTGGCCGTGCGATGACGCTGAGGCGATGGCTGGGGATATGTCGTCATACGCTCGCAGCCACTCCTTGATCGTGTCGTGTTGCTCTCGCGTACACGAGCGCGACGCAATGGGCAGAACGTGTGCAAGTGCAGCGGAGAGGTGTTTGCTTGCAAGCACAAGCCGTGCCCGCCTCCCCAGAGCAAACATAGTCACCACCGCCGCTGACTGCAGGGAAAGCCACGCGCGTGTGTCCACAAACCACCGCGACTTAATGCCTGGTGTTCCAAAAACGGTTGCGGTGATGCGTTGGGTTGCTGTTGCGAGACTCACAGTCGGCTGCACGCCCAGGACATGCGCAGGGTCCTGGCTGTCACCGCCCTGTGTCTCAGGCTCGTCCTGCTCCCAACTGTCGTCGTCATCGTCATCACCATCACCGCTATCAGCGCTGCCGGCACTCACGTCCTCTTCACCATCACCACTGTGATCATCACCATCATCACCACGACCATCGTCATCATCACCATCACCACTGCGGCTGTCACCGCTCACACGTCCCCGTCGCGTTGTGCTCGTGTCCACTCCACTCTCCTCGTGCCCGCTGTCATTGTCGTCATCACTGCTCAGCACCAGCCGCAGTGCTGTGACGCGGCGGTGTCCCGGCGCTGCTTGCCCTGTTGTTGTTGATGGTGGTGATGGCGATGGTGGTGATGGCGATGGTGGTGATGGCGATGGTGGTGAGACCGTGTTGTTGCAGTTCGCACTGTGCGTTGTCGTCGTCGTCTTCGCTGCCGTTTTTGTTGTCGCATCAGGGTGGCTGTGTGTTGTCGGGCCTCGCCGTTGCTTTCGCTTGTGGTTGTGTCGCTGCTTGGGATGGATGCACAGCACGTCGCGCTCGCCCCTATCACGCACGCACGTGTGCTCCCACCACGCCAGCATCTGATGCATGTTGAAGAGTGCCGTGGCAACATCCCACGCCGCGTCACGCTGCGTCTTCGCGTCCACAGCGGATGCGAGCCGACGGGTCAGCTGTTCGTGCTGGTGGCGATACGCAAAGTACGCGCGCGTGTACACGTGCAGCTCGGACAACGTGAGGCCAATGGACGCATACACATCGGAAAGTGAGCTGCAGCCAGGCCACTTCCCATCGTCACCACCACCTGCCCGCTCTCGCTCTCGCTGCTGTTCATGGTGGTCGTGGAGATTGCCATCAGCGGCGCGGGTGTTAACATCATCACCATCGTCACCACCACCACCACCACCACCACCACCACCACCACCACCACCACCACCACCACCACCACTGCCATCACGTGTATGGTTGCGTTGTTGCTGTCGCCAGTGCACAACGCGCGCGTACATTCGCAGCGCCTGCGTGCGGCGTGGCGCAGGCTCGTCCTCGCACACGGCGTCTGCCAGGGCCTCAAGGCGCGCGCACAGCACGCTCGGCGCTGATTGCGTCAGTTCCATGTTGGTGATCTCGACTTTGGCCTTGAGAGACATGCGTGCATGACGCAAGAGCGCAGCCAACGCAACGCGCGTCTCTCGCGGCACCACCAGCTTGGTCCGTGGCGCCTGCAGCAGCTTGTACGCGTTTCGCAGCACCTGCACCGCATCTCTGTCACGGCCGTGGTCGAGGTGAACGTGCGCCAGCCCCATCATCAGGGCGACGCGCACAGGCACCTCGCTCAGGGCAATCTGGCCACTCACCGCGGCTGCTGCTGCGGCTGTACCACCACCGGTTGCACCCATGCCACTGCCACCTCCCGCTGCTGTCGTGGTTGAAGCGCCGCCAATGACGAGGGATCGTGAGCTGGTGCCCAGCGACGATGCTGACGTGCTTGGCGCGTGTAAGCTGACCAGGCCGCGGTCATCGGCAGGCACATTCTCCTGTGCTGCGAGCGCGCGTTGAAACGCAGTGACGGCGCGCTTGTCTCTCCCCAGTACACGTTGCACCTCTGCTATTCGCGCCAAAGCCATTGCGTGGAAGGTCCAGCGGGTGAGGGACCGCGCCATCACCCCGGCCTGGTTTGGGTTTGGGTTTGGGTTTGGGTTTGGGTTGGGGAGGGGAAGGGAGGTGAGGTGGAGGTGTGATGGTGCAGGGGATTGGAGTGAGTGAGAGGGTGAGTGAGTGAGAGGGTGAGTGAGTGAGTGAGAGGGTGAGTGAGTGAGTGAGTGAGTGAGAGGGTGAGTGAGAGGGTGAGTGAGTGAGTGAGGGGGTGTGCCATACTAGATCAATGGGCATCGACTAAGGCCGTGGCAAACAGGAGCAGCACCTTCTCAAAGTGAGTGAGACTTCTGAGCAGCTGGCGGCGGGATGGATTGCTTGCGCTCATCTTCACCAGGCCCATGTTGTAGATGCACCTGAGTTGGACGAGGCAGGGGTGTGTGCAGGTCGAGAGTAAGTGAGGGCGTGTGAAGGTGTGTGTTGTTAGTGTGTGTGTATGTGAGAGAGAGAGAATGTGTTGTGTGTGTGTGTGCGTTTGTGCAGGAGGACGCAACATGGGTCAGAAAGGAGCAGGTAAACACGCCGTTGCTGCATTGGCAAAGCGTTCAGCAGAACAAGAGCAGCCACACAGCTCACCTCATTGTCATGTCCTTGCGTTGGCGCTCGTCAGGGCATTGGGGAATGAGTGCCAGCGACTGCTCAAGATATGTATAGCTCTTCCTCAATGACTCATCTGCCATGGAACATGGTGGAGTCATGGTGAGGTGATGTGATGTGAAGCCATGATCCGGTCGAGCGTGCAATCAGTGAGTGAAAGACGCTGTGGCACACCAAGTTGCAGCCACCAAGCAGTCAGATACGAATGCAGACAGGAATGCAAAACGGCACACGAATGTCGTCAGCAGATAACAGTGAAACAAGGTTGTGGGTGGGTGGGGCGAACAACAGCAGGTGGCGGACCTGTGCCTTCTTCGAGGTAACATGTGCCGAGGTTGTTCAAGGCGCGTTGTTTCTCGATTGGGTCGTTTGCCTTCTCTGCAATGTCCAAGTGCCTCTGCCTGTGGGTCAGCTCCCCGGAAAAGTCGCTCATGCGAGCATAGCAGTCTGCCAGCGTGCGATGCACCAGCAGATCTTCCTCGCTGCAGCGTGAGCGGCACATGGGCGTGTTTGCAGTGTACAAAAAGTTGAGGGTGACGTCACAACTGACGGGCGTGCATCGTCTTGATCCAAGCTTGTCGCATGCAACAATGAACACAAAAACGCCACTCAAATCATGCTCCCACAGACTTGTGCGCGCGGACTAACATGCACCTTTACATGCTGACTAACATCCACACGTCCACGAAACAAACATACGCACAGACAGACAGACAGACAGACAGACAGACAGACACACAGACAGACAGACAGACAGACACACACACACACACAGGCACGCGGACAGACACACACGAGCTCACGCCAGGAAACGGATCAGAACACACACACACACATACACACACACACACGCGCGCACACACACGCACTAGCTCACACACCCGCTGAGGAGCAATGCTTCTTGGAGCTCTGTGAGGGCAAGACCAGGGCTGTTGGCCTCGATGTGCGCTTGTGCAATCTCGCAGCATCGCTGGCGCAGTTCCGCGGTGTTGTTGTTTGCCTCGGCTTTGCGCTTGAGCCGGTGAAGCTGCTGCAAGTACCTGCTCGACATTGCGCCGCCCTTGTTTCCTCCTTGCTCTCTTCTTCAATCAAGCAAACAACAGCAGACACCACGGGGCAAGCAGCGTGCACCGCCCCACCACGTCCCTCCTCGTCGTCGTGGTTGCACTCGCCGTTCCTGTCTTGTCGTTGCTTGCTCGCTTGCTTGCCCATTGGGTTGTTGGGTTGTCGCTCGAACGCAGCGCGGCAATCAAGGGAGCGCGCCAAAGCGGTTTTGACACTGATTTCAGTTCACATACAACCCAACAAGACTGAATTAAGTCATCGATTACCTTGCCGACCTCACAACAACGCCGCCAACACACACAAAACACGCCGATTCCACACCCCGCCATTCGGCTGGACAGCATCGTAGGCTGCCCATCGTATCCAGCGCAAGAGGGGAAGGTGCAAGGCACAGGTGGCCACGAGGGCTTTAGATCGGCTTTGTGTGCACTCTAAGGCTTCAATTGCACAACAAGAACACCCACTGCGACAACAACAACAACAACAACAACACCAACGCAGTAGCAGCCAAGATGCATCGCGTCCACGGCACGTTTCACTCCACCATGCAGCCCATGGACTTGTCCATACGGTATGTTTGTGCATCAATTGTGCGCTTGCGTGTCTGTGGTGGTGGTGTGCATGTGAGAACTGGATCGAAGGTTGCGAGTTCACGAAACGTGGTTTACCTCAGCACAACCTTGCCTTACCCTCCCTCCTCCCAACAACAACAACAACAACAACACATGCGTCATCGCGTGCCTACTTGCTTGCTCTCGACCACAATACGATATAACCACGGCCATGTCCACCATGACCATGACTGAAACAGGGGACACAATGCGCGGCAGCGGCAGGGAAAGGTTGGCGGGTCCACCATCCAGCTCAACCTGTCGCGGTCGTTTGACGGCGCAGATCAAGATGCCCTGACCTTGCGGCGGGAAGCGCTCATGACAAAACGCAAGACAACACAGCATATCCGCGGGCTCAAGCACCCGACACCAACGTCGAGCATTCGCAAGGAAACAAACGCAGCCATGTTCGACTTTGAAAAGGACCAAAAGGCGCTTGTGCTCAGCCTTCGCGAGGTGGAGCACGCAGCCATCCAGCGTGAGTCCGTGTGTGTGTGTGTGTGTGTGTGTGTGTGTGTG